TACAAAATATTATCTCTTCCCTCGACGGGGATCGAAGCTTCGGCCCACCACCTACTTGGCCCCTGGTCTCTTTGGCCGTTGTGGGTGGAGGACAGCCGCAGGGACCCGTGAAACCCTCCTTATGTCACCTCCTTTAGTTCCCACAGTTTGCGAGCACAGTATCCCTTTCTTTGTCATATAGTATATCAATGCAATCTCACCATCCAGTACATTCTATCCTCTCCAACTGGCCCCATCCTTTTTCTATCCTTAGCCCTTTACATGCACTCTCTGCTCCCACTTAATTTAACAATTTCTTATAGAGAACCCAGAGCAGGCACACACACACCATAAACTGCCACAGACCAGCAGACTACGCCTCACATATCCTCTCAGTCAGTCCATAGCATAGCATCGCCAAAGGCACACCCCATGACAACTTAAAGAATTAGTGACAATAACAAGCTGCCTCTAGACGCTCTGTGGCTTTGGGGTCATGTGCACTAGCGTCATAACTGTGTTACTTTTTCAGCACGTACAGTATTCTCTAAAGAAAAGTAAATTGCCTTTGTCAATTTTACTTGAAGTTCTGCTTTTTAACTGCTCATAAAAGTTATAAACAAGTTAGTGAATCACTAAAATAAGTAAAACATTAAGAGGTTTATAAGTAGTTTATAAGCAGTATTTTCCAGTTTTAGCCTAAAGTCTACTCTACACCTTAGAGAAGCCTTACCTGAGCAGATGTTAGTGCGAGCAGTGGTATGGGCCTCCTCTTCCTCAGCTCCATACACTTCCTCAGCTTACAGATCTGGTGTCCGGTCCTGCGGTTCAGACAGCAGCTACACTGGCCACAGTTGATCTTCCTCAAGCACGGCTCACATCCTCCACAACTACTCCTCTTTTTCCTCTCCCTCCTCTGGTTGACCCGTAGGGGTCGGGGCAGAGATGTGCCCCCCTCCAGGGGCCTCGGGCCCAGGCTAGGGTATCCAGGGGGGCTAGGGGCCCCATAGCCTTGCTCTGACTCTGTGTCGAAGGAGTAGGAGGATTGGGTGCTCTCTGAGCTGCAGGAGAATGAGAAAGAGAACTTGGAGGTAGAACTCTCCTGGTTAGGGAAGGAGGATGTCTTTGGCACTGAACCCAGATCAGATACAGAGACCGATGCAATGTCTGTGTTTGGTTCAGATCCAGTGTTTGTGTATGGGAGTGAAGGTGGTGGCTCGTCTTGGTTGTTCTTGTTGTGAGTCTTTGGTACAGAACCTAGGTCAGATACAGAGACAGATACGGTGTCTTTGTCTGGTTCAGATCCAGTGGTGAAGAGGTCTATATTTGTGTTTGGGAGTGATGATGATGATGATGATGATGGTGGCTCTTCTGGGTTGTTGTTGTGGTTCTTTGGCACTGGACCCAGGTCTGGTACAGACACAGTGATGTTAATGTCGGTGTTTGATTGAGACACAGTGGTGGGGACCTCCGCGTTGGTGTACAGGTGTGACGAAGATGATGCAGATGACATCTCTTTTGCGTTGCTGTGATTGGATGACTCTTTGGTCTCTTTGTCCACTGGTCTGAGAAGTTGTCTAGCCTCCAGAGAGATAGGGATCTCTAGGCTCTGACTGGGTGCTGGTTTCGCTGGGGTTACACACAGGGGCTTGTGGGGTTCACTAAGGAAGGCAACTGAGAGACTTAGTGATACTGGGTGCATTGGGCTCGCCTGTGATATCTCATGGCAAGTAGTTGGGGCTTTTAAAGGTTTATGGATTTCAACAGTTTGGGTAGGTTGGATTGGTTTAACACCTTGGTTCAGAACCTTCATATCATGTGACACTGTGGAGTGAGGCGGAGAGGGCGGATGAGGGAGAGGGGGTGATGCCAGGTCTGAGGTAGCTGGTTCAGAGACAGGTGAGGCATGGACAGGTGATTGCATCATCAACGCATCATCCTGCGGAAAAGGCTTTTGGGGCTGAGCGACAGACATACTGGTGCTTGTGTCTGAAGGTCTGCTGATAACCTCTCCCTCCTTCTGTCTCTTGTTTTTCTCTTTTCTTTCCTCAGTCTCATTCACCTTGACTCTCTCCACTCTCTCCTTACTGTCTGCTTTCTTCTTTTCTTCATCTGTCTCTTCTTCCTGCTCCACTATTTCCTCTCCTTCCTTCTCCAATCTCTCCCCTCCTCTCTGCTCCCCTGCATTAGTATCTCTCTCTCTTTGCTCCATCTCAATCTGCTCAGCTCCGAGGTTTATCTTGGCGTTGTCTTCACCTTTAGGGCCGACTGACTCTTCCTGCCTGTCATCACTGGTAGAGTCAACAAGCTCATGGCTCAGGTTGAAAGAATTGCCCTCAGCAATATTGTTGACTAGCTTTTCCTGTTGTTGGTCAAAACGTGTGGGCTCATTGAGCTCAGAGTGGTTGCCCTCACCACTATGGCTGACAGGCTTATCGTGTGAGTCAGCCCCAACTGTGTCACCATTATGGGCAACTAACTCTTCCTGTTTGTCATCACTAGCCGAATCATCAGTCCTCAGGTTACGAGGTTTGCCCTCACTATCATGGCCGACTCCCTGCTCCTGCTGGTCAACACAGGTAGTTTCATCAAGTTCAGTCCTCAGGTTAGGTTTGCCCTCACCAACATGACCGACTACTTTTTTCTCTTGGTTAATCTTACTAGGGTCTATACTAACAGTGTCAGACTCCTCAGGTCCTTGCTCAATCCCGCTCTCACTCCCTCTCTGAACCCCCGCTCCCCTACCCCCCCTCCCCCTGGCTGTCTTCCCTCCCCTGCTAGGCTTTACCGCCAGGGTAGGAAACTGCTTGACGCCTCCCATGCCCCGTAAGGACATCCTGCGCCTAGGGGGGTCCTCTTCCACACCATGCTGGAGCAGAGGATTACCCCAGCTCCTTAGCCTCACTGATCCTGTTACACCCACAGGGGCATGGTTAACCCTACCAGGGGATGCCCCCGGGCCCTGACCACCAAGCCTACCTACCCCACTCCTTCCTGGGCTTCTGGCCAGCTGGGCCTGGGTCCTGGTTGTGGATCTTCGGAGTGGTTCTGGAGTTGACTGTGGACTCTCAAAGGCTTTTCCTCTGGGCTTGCTGGAGTTGGAGGTCTGTCTCTTGGCGGTGGAGATGGCGGTTGTTGTGGGTATCACCTTGCGGCCATTCCTTGTCAGTGGTGGGGGTTGTCTCTTAGGGGATTTGGGAGTAGGAGGCATAGTGGAGGATATGAGAGGGCAGAGATGGGGCAGTCGGCATGGGAACCAGGTGAATGGTTGTTAGCTGTGCTCCAACTTTCACTTTTTTTTCTCTCTTCCTCAATTTTTTTTGACTTGGATTACTGACTCACACAGACACCAAAATTCAGAGTTATTTTCCCACCATGTTGAAAAAGCTGTGCAAGGACCTGGAGAGAATTGATAAAGAAAATAAAAACATGTTAAAATAATTGGTTCACCTCTAGTGCCTGAATGTCCATGTTTGATTGACAACATAACTTTTTTATTTTCCGAATAAAACATGCCTGTTAAATGTTTGTTTTTTTATGTACTGGGTACAATAGAACCAAATTGTATCATTTGTAGCAAATGTTTGGAAATCTTCAATTGCACGTTGTTGCATTAGGGAAATTAATTGTGTGACTATGCAAACAGAAAATGTATGAGGTATCAGGTGTGACAATACGGGTTAGTTAGTTAGCTTGTCGAGTTACCAGCCATGTATTTCACTTTCAATTTATCATTTTCAATAAACTGGCCTTGTGAACCCACTCACTTCCTTAGCGGAAGGAATGGCGCGGGGCCTGCCATGCCAAATAGGGTCCATTTTTGGCTAGGCACACACCGCCAAGTTCACAACCTAAAACACCTTGTCAAAGCAATGATCCGTGAAGTAAAGCCATGCAACAGATTACAAAATAACACTTTCCTATAAATAAATTGTTCATTGCAATATATATAGATTCTACTATTAATCAATAGATATGCTAAAGCTCCTACTTCCGCATGGCGGTGGTATTTATTTTCTATTTAAACTAAGTCCTTTAACAGTTAAAAGGCAGAAGTGAAGCTCTTTAAAAAGTATAGGTTTCTACACGACACCGGGCTTGGCTAGCTGGCTAGTTCTTTTCCGCACGAGTTTCGGACGGAAGCGTAATGACAATGTTGTACCAGCTTGCAACATTGCCGCATCGAGTATATGTTCTTGCGCTTGACCGAATGTCCGAAAAATATCGAGTATTTCACACTCGTGGCATTGGATGGCTTACTAAGCTATTCGTGAATGTGACCAAGAACATAGCCTAATTAAGTGTTGTTGGTGTGGATTTTATTTACACGTTGACTTTAAAAGGCAGCTCAAATATTTTACATACCAGAGACAGTTGCACTGTCTGAGTTGCTAATAAAACTCCACTCCTGTTAAGACACTGACGATCATTGTATTGGTGTCCCTCGGAAAATATGGCTGGTTCTTCTTTACAACACTGATACATTGACACAATCTACCAATACTGCTTATATCAAGCGGCTTTTGATAGTGTAAAACACGCATGTAGACATACTGGATACAACACAATTTAAAGCGTAAATCCTTCTTGTGTCAATCCATTCGGGGCAGCCCTCTCCCCCTCCTCTCCCAGATGCGACCTACGGTCTCGAGTCAACTGAGCTCTAGAGTAAAGAGTTATCGGGAAAACCTGGAATGGAATTGACATGTTTGTCCACTTTCTCTCATAAGTAGAGGTATCAAACTTCTATCAAACTACTTCAAACCCTAGACACCCTTATACAATATGATGTTTTGCTTCATATTCTGTATTAAAGTTTATAAATGTTTTACAACTGTGTAATAATAACACCTTTAAAAACACTAACCTGCTCCAAACAAGCGCTATATGACCCAATATTTAGCAAATGATAAAGTGTTTGGGCAGTAAATGACATGTAATTATTAATTGCCACATTTATGGTTTTATTATTCCCTTTTTATTATCAATGATGTCATTCGCATGCGCCGGTGCAACTCTAGATCTGTGCACGATGAAGGGCACTAGTGGTTGGTGATCATAAAAACAAGTGCCTTCACCCTTCATACATTTAACCCAGGTAGCAAACTGGTTTTATTGCTGTTTTTCTAATCACTTTTGGCTATTAATTAGCTACGGATGACTCGCCAAAATAGGGACCGAAAACTGAACTCACAGACTTGTCGCTCGGTGAAGTTGTCTCCGGGAGCGCCCGCTAAGCAGGTTTGTTTACATGGGGAATCAGGAAGGGACTGCCTGCAAATGCTAACGTGCCCGCTAGCTCCGTTGTGCAACGTTCGTTCATCTGACAGTGTTGACCTTGCAGTGGTTAAGATGGCTAATATAAGTTATCATTACAGCAACAGTCGATTGAACTGTGATTAACTGTTTGAACAGTCTGTTCAATGGTAGATTGAAAATTTTATTTAGCCAACCAGTTAAAGTTAATCTGCTAGCGGTAACACGATAGGTCGATTTCAGTGATAGCTAACGTTAGCTACGTTCAATGACAGTTAACATTACTACTAGCTAGTGCTATTTTTGTTTTGATACGTGACTAGCCGCCTAGTAGCTACTTATCTAGCCAAACCACACTATGTCTTGATTATACTTTGTTTCAGTGATCAACTAACGTTAACGTTACATACATCGTTATGCCTCATCACATTTATGTGCCTCCCAGGCAAGGCAGAATGTCAGTGTCACTGTCAGTATTATTGGCGGTCGGATGATGATGTCGTCGAGTGATATCCTTTAAAATTCTGGGTGAGAATGTAATTATGTAACTGTTGTTTTTTAATCTTTCCATAGTTATGGATGCATTAGGGTCCTGATTGAACACACACATCATGGCAACGGAGGCTGCAGTCTCCACCCCTGGTCGTCCTGCGATCCCCAACCACACTCAGGGGGATTATCACTTTGTCCGCTCCTTCGTAGCTGGAGGTAAGGGTGGCTGCAGACTTCACTAGTGATTATAATGCAGAAATGCAATACAGAACATACAGTAGTACACATCTAATGACACAAATCCTGGTTCTGATGAGCTGCATGCATGGTGTGCAGGCTTTTTTGTCCAGCAATAACGGACTACTATAATCTAAATCAGGGATGGGCAACTTTGATGGGGGTGGAGGCCATGTATGAACATGTCGATTACCTACACTATATATGCAAAAGTATGTGGACACCCCTTCAAATGAGTTGTTTCGGCTATTTCAGCCACACCCATTGCTGACAGGTGTTTAAAATCGAGCACACAGCCATGCAATCTCCATAGACAAACTGCTGTTGCACAACCAAATTTCGAAATTGCACCTTGTGTATTCTACTATTCTAACTTTCAACAGTAAGTTGAAACCCCAACCTGAGTTTGAAAAAAATTATCTGAGGGCCTTCAAAAGGTGGGCTGCCCATGGGCCGCCAGATGCCAATCCCTGATCTAAAATAATGGCTTAACCTCACCAGAGATCCAGAAAATAAATAGATATAGGCTAGGGTTGAATAGCTGGAACTGGGTTATGGAGATTCACAGAGATTTCCCACCAAAACCCACTCCCTTTTCCCGGAGTAAATAACTGCGAGAAACTGGTAAATTATAATTATTTATTTTAACAGCATGATGTGAAATGGAACTGTTAAATTATAGGGAGTGGTTATGGATACAGAGTTTCTGTTTCTCAATTTGCCCAGACAAAAAATACGGATATTTCAGTGCATTTGCAGGTTATTTTTTTAACGTAGCTGAGTTCCCACTCCGCTGCCTACGTAGCTGCAGTGCAGAGTGCTCCACTGCCGCTCCCACCTCCTTGGTCGCTTTTGTCTGGTCACTGATGTAGCCTACAAACTTCATGTTAAACACACAACTGTTAAAACTTACTGCATTCCATGCCTCAGTAAAAATAAGCGCGAGTTCATGTTATTCTTTCAGGAGGGGAGTAGGGTACATGCAGCTATTTTACATGTTTTACACAAAATACACTACATGGTCAAAAGTATGTGAACATCTGCTCGTCGAACATCTCATTCCAAAATCATGGGCATTAATATGCAGTTGGTCCCCCCTTTGCTGCTATAACAGCCTCCACTCTTCTGGGAAGGCTTTCCACTAGATGTTGGAACATTGCTGCGGGGACTTACTCCCATTCAGCCACAAGCATTAGTGAGGTCCAAAGGTGGAAAGCACAGAATTGTCTAGAATGTCATTGTATGCTGTAGCATTGATTTCCCTTCACTGGAACTAAGGGGCCTAGCCCGAACCATGAAAAACAGCCCCAGACCATTATTCTTCCTCCACCAAACTTTACAGTTTATACATGGCACTATACATTCGGGCAGGTAGCGTTCTCCGCCAAACCCAGATTCGTCCGTCGGAGTCCAATGGCGTCGAGCTTTACACCTGTCCAGCCGACACTTGGCATTGCACATGGTGATCTTAGGCTTGTGTGCGGCTGCTCGGCCATGGAAATCTATTTCATGAAGCTCCCGACGAACAGTTATTGTGCTGAAGTTGCTTCCAGAGGCAGTTTGGAACTCGGTAGTGATTGTTGCAACCAAGGACAGATTATTTTTACGCGCTACGCGCTTGAGCACTCGGCGGTCCTGTTCTGTGAGCTTGTGCGGCCTACCACTTCGTGGCTGAGCCGTTGTTGCTCGTAGACGTTTCCACTTCACAATAACAGCACTTACAGTTGACCGGGGCAGCCCTTGCAGAGCTGAAATTTGACAAACTGACTTGTTGGAAAGGTGGCATCCTATGACGGTGCCACGTTGAAAGTCACTGAGCTCTTCAGTAAGGCCATTCTACTGCCAATGTTTGTCTATGCAGATTGCATGGCTGTGTGCTCGATTTTATTCACCTGTCAGCAAGGGTGTGGCTGAAATAGCTGAATCCACTAATTTGAAGGGGTGTCCACATACTTTTATATATATATATATAGTGTACGTTATCGACATGTTCGTACAAACTTTGTTGTCAGTATTACAAACATAAGCATGACACAAACAGGCAGTCTAGCGATTACATTTTATTCTTAGCTGCTGAGTTACATGCAGCTATTTACTCTCGCCACGATATCAGCATATATGGCATAACTATGGCACCGGGCGACGCAAAACGAACTCGCCCATTGTCAGACTCTTTTTACCGGTCTGGATGCACGCACGGCTACCTAGAATGTTCGACTGCCCAGAGGTGGAACGCAGCAAGAGACAGACACGCAGTGTAATTAGTGATGGAATGTAATTTTTTCATCATCATTGCAAACATTGGCTAAGCTGCGCAGGAGGCAGACAGGCAGTCAAGTAGTGTTATTTTTTCAGGAACTACGATATGGCAGCAGCTATAAAGATTATCTTACATCATCACAAAATGTGTCAAAAGTGTAGGGACTGCGTCCTGCTTGTCAACTGCAATATCCGTTACAACAGACAGACAGAGAAGGTTGTAGCCTTCATAAAGTATTCACACCCCTTTACTTTTTCCACAATTTGTCGTGTTACAAGGTGCGATTAAAATTTATTTAATTGTCTTTTTTTGTCAACGATGTACACAAAATACTCTAATGTCGAAGTGGAAGTCATCCAGCTCCTGAGGTAGCAAAGCATCCTCAAACCATCACACTACCACCACCATGCTTGACCGTTGGTGTAAGGTTCTTACTGTGGAATGCAGTGTTTGGTTTTTGCCAGGTATTATGGGACCCATGTCGTCCAAAAAGTTATACTTTTGACTCATCTGTCCATAGAACATTCTTCCAAGAGTCTTGATGATCATCCAGATGCTTCCAGGTGCTTTTTGGGAAACTTGAGTCAACTTTTTGGCCTCACGTCCAGAACGACTTGCCTTAAGAGAAGGAACTAGAATTCTGCTCTTTATCAGATAATTCTACAGGAGAATGTCAAGCCAGCCGTCTGTGAGCTGAAGCTGAAGCGCAGCAGGGTCATGCAGCAAGACAATGATCTAAAACACACAATCCAGTCTAAATGAAAGTGGTTAAAAAGCAACAAATTGGAAGTTTTGGAATGGCCTAGTCAAAGTCCCGACCTAATCCCAATTGAGATGTTGTGGCAGGACTTGAAACGAGCAGTTCATGCTTGAAAACCCACAAATGTCGCTGAGTTACAGCAGTCCTGCATGGACAAATGGGCAAAAATTCCTCCACAGCAATGTAAGAGACTGATCAACAACTACAGAAAGCATTTGGTTGCAGTCATTGCAGCTAAAGGTGGCACAATCAGTTATTGATGAGTGTAAGAAGGAAATTACTTTTTCACACAGGGGAATTATAACTTTTTTTGTTATTTGTAAACTCAGGTTCCCTTTATCTAATATTAGGTCTTGGTTGAAGATCTGATAACATTCAGTATAAAAAATATGCAAAAATAGAGAAAATCAGAAAGGGGGCAAATACTTTTTCATGGCACTGTATGTAAACTTAGTAATAATCATGGTGGAATTACCGGCCAGGGGGCCCCCATTGATTTTGTTAGTCAGCCTCACTCAGATATCATGTAAAAAAATGCAAACATTTCTCTCCACCCTATGGCAAAATGTGTAGAATTGCAGGAAATTAGCAGTATTTTGTTTTCTAATGATCATTATTTTTTTTGTCAAAGAAGTTCAATTGAATTCATCACTGCTGAAGTGAAGGCCAACTTCACTTGGGGAATGCTGTTTTTTCGTTAGCTTTGCGACAGTATAAAACATTAATTTAGGATTGTTTTATTCTCCACAATCAGTTTGTAAAAGTAAGTTGATCGAGCAGCAGAGAGGGCTTTTGGACAATGCATGGTACTGTCCTTCCAAGCTAGTCGGATTTGTCAGACTTCCAATTTGGTGGAGCGCAATTTCCGTTCCAATTTTCTGGAAGTTTGCTTCAGGGCTCAGGCATTTTCTGTATACCAGGCAGCTAGTTTCTTGTGACAATTTGTTATTGTTTTTAGCAGGTGCGACCCCATCTAGGGTATTACACAAGGTTAAGTTTAGATCCTCGGTTAGGTGGTTAACAGATTTTTGTACTCCGACGTCCTTGGGTAGGTGAAGGGAGTCTGGAAAGGCATCTAGGAATCTTTGTATTTGTATTTATTAAGGATCCCCATTAGCTGCTGCCAAGGCAGCAGCTACTCTTCCTGGGGTCCAGCAAAATTAAGGCAGTTATATACAATTAAAAATATTACATGACATTACATTTCATAACACATTTCACAACACATTAAGTGTGTTCCCTCAGGCCACTACTCTACTATCACATATCTACATTACAAAATCCATGTGTGTGTAGAGTGCATGTCTTATCATGTGTATGTGTGCCTGTGTGTGTGTCTCTTCACAGTCCCTGCTGTTCATAAGGTGTATTTTTATCTGTTTTTTAAAATCTGATTCTACTGCTTGCATCAGTTATCTGATGTGGAATAGCGTTCCATGTAGTCATGGCTCTATGTAGTACTGTGCTCCTCCCATAGTCTGTCCTTGACTTGGGGATTGTGAAGAGACCTTTGGTGGCATGTCTTGTGGGGTATGCATGGGTGTCCGAGCCGTGTGCTAGTAGTTTAGACAGACACCTCGGTGCATTCAGCCTGTCAACCCTTCTTACAAAAACAAGTAGTGGTGAAGTCAATCTCTCCTCCACTTTGAGCCATGAGAGATTGACATGCATATTATTAATGTTAGCTCTCCGTGTACATTTAAGGGCCAGCCGGGCTGCCCTGTTCTGAGTCAATTGTAATTTTCCGAGGTCCCTCTTCGTGGCAACTACTGTTACGACTGAACAGTAGTCCAGGTGCAACAAAACTAAAAGGCAGAGCAGTGCTTTATTATGGACAGACTTCTCCCCATCTTAGCTACTGTTGTCCGAGAATTTACAGCGCGCTTTTGATAGTTCTTGGTTGGGGTCTAACCAAATTATTTGTTGCGATTGCAAACGTAATAAGATCGTGGTCCGATAGTCCAGGATTGAGGAAGAACATTTAGATCCACTATCTATTTCACGGGACAAAACTAGATCCATGACAAGTCCAAAGTGATGTATACTGAACAAAAATATAAACGCAACGTGCAACAATTTCAACGATTTTACTGAGTTACAGTTCATATAAGGAAGTCAGTCAATTGAAATAAATAAATTAGGCCCTAATCTATGGATTGAAGGGACATAGGCCCACCCAGTCGGCAGCCAGGCCCACCCACTGGGGATCCAGGCCCAGCCAATCAGAATGAGTTTTTCCCCACAAAAGGGCTTTATTACAGACATAAATACTCCTCAGCACCCCCCCACTTTACATGTTGCGTTTATATTTTTGTTCAGTGTAATATACACTAATCCAAACTAACACGTCTAGATTCTGGTTTGAGCAAACTTGCATCTAATCATCTGCAGATTAATTTAATGTTAATTTTACTCAGTCCAGCTCAGATATGCTCATGTTGAAGGTGTCTGTATCTGTTGTCTGGATGTGTTTAGGTATAGCTGGATGCTGTGCCAAGTCCACCATCGCTCCTCTGGACAGAGTGAAGATCTTATTGCAAGCCCACAGCCCCCACTACAAAGACCTGGGTAAGGTCTGGATAACTCTGCTGCTTTGAATTGAGTATTCCTCTACCTGTAAACATGTGTGTGGGTTGTCAATTGGTTTGTCAGTGCCACTCATGTATCCCCCCTCCCATGTGAATGTTGTATCATGTGGCGTTTAAATAATCTGAGATGTTTTATCTTCTTCTTCTACCAGATGGCACCGAAAACAAAACAATGACATCACACTGATCTTTCTTCTTTTTGTTCTTTGCTCTCTCTCCCCTCCCTCTCTCTCTCCCCTCCTCTCCCCTCCCTCTCTCCCTCTCCCTCTCCCTCTCTCCCCTCCCTCTCTCTCTCCCTCTCCCCCCCTCCCTCTCTCTCTCCCGCTCCCCCTCTCCCCTCCCTCTCCCTCTCTCCTCTCTCTCCTGTAGGAGTGGTAGCCACTCTCCGTGCTGTGCCAAAGAAGGAGGGTTACCTTGGGCTGTATAAAGGCAATGGGGCTATGATGGTCAGGATATTCCCCTATGGAGCCATCCAGTTCATGGCCTTTGACAAATACAAGAAGATACTCAGTAAACAGCTGGGCATCTCTGGACACATCCACAGGCTCATGGCAGGTTCTATGGCAGGTGAGAGAAGATCAGTGGGAAGAATCCAAAAAAGAAAATGGGAGGCCTGTATAATGCAGAGAAGATACTTCCTAATTTCTGGTTATTTTTCAACAACAATAGTTTCCACAATAGATTCAACAAAACAACAACCGTTGTTAAGTATATTGTATCTGACCATGTTATTGTTGTTGTTGTGTTGCTCAGGGATGACAGCTGTGATATGTACGTACCCTCTGGATGTGATCAGAGCCCGTCTGGCATACCAGGTGAAAGGACACCATCGCTACACAGGCATCGGAAATGCCTTCCAGACTATATACCTAAAGGTATGCTAGTTTGTTCTAACCTATCCCTTAATTTGTTCCTCTCAGTTTCAAATTAAAGCTGTTATTTGAGAGGTGTGCAGGTTTCCCTCCTGTGTTTGTGTTTATCTTGAATTGAGGCTCAGTTGTTGGTGTTCTCTTTTTAAAGGAAGGAGGCATCCCTGGCTTCTACAAGGGTCTGATCCCAACCCTTATAGGCATGGCTCCATACGCAGGTGAGCATGCACAAACACGCGCACACACAGTGTTGTCAATAACTTTCTGTGGAGTTTTGTGGGCCTCATTTCTTCTGCCCTTCCTCCCTCCTTCCTTCAGGGTTCTCGTTCTTTACCTTCGGCACGTTGAAGAGTCTGGGTCTGGCCCACTTCCCAGAGCTCCTGGGGCGACCGTCCTCAGATAACCCAGAGGTGATGGTGCTGAAGACCCACGTCAACCTCCTCTGTGGAGGGGTAGCTGGAGCTATCGCACAGACCATTTCGTAGGTTGATTGATTGATTGGGTGTTTGACTGATGGATTAATTGGTTTTAAAGACCTATGTCAACTGCTCTGTGGAGGGGTGGTTAATTGTTTGATTGGTTGGTCGATCGATTTGGTTGGTTAACTAATTTGCTCTCTTTCTCTCTCCCTCTCCCTGTCCCCCCCTCCTTGTCCCCCCCCCTTCTCTTCCCTGTCTCCTCTCCCAGCTATCCTTTGGATGTTGCCAGGAGAAGGATGCAGTTAGGAGTGGTGCTTCCTGACTCTGACAAATGTCTGTAAGTGGCACTATTTACCCCTTCCTCTCCAAACCCAGAGCTCATATTACAAAATGAAGTGCTGATCTAGGATCAGGTTTCCCTTTCCATATAATCTAATTCATTATGATCTAAAAGGCAAAAGGACCCTGTGCTAGACTTAGGGGGTATACTGTATATACCGTGTACCGGGGTATTTTAAAATACCAACAGTATGATTTTCAATACCATCCCCAATTTTTATTATTTAATTTTTTATTCACAAATTCAATTGAACCAGTCACATGGTATGTTTGTCTACAAAGAGCACATGGAGCAAATGGAAGTTTCGTGACCTGAAGATCCACTGTTGTGCAGCGGAAGAAAGAGATGTGATCAAGTTACACTTGAAATTCACTACTAATGTTTACTAGCAAAATATCTTATAACTATAAGTTAACTATCTAAGATGTGCCAAACAAATGTTCTCCAGTCAGAGCTCCAGCTATGCATTTGGTTTGCTAACTTGCTAGCTAGAGGTGGCTAGCTTGCAAGATCAAGCTTCTTGGTTACAGCAGAGACAATCATCCCCTCCTGGATCAAGTGTGAGTAGCCTTTTGAGATAGTTGTATAACTTTATGAGCTGGGTTGTCTGTCCTTGCAATCACATTATGTTCGCTTGCGCTTGTTAGCATTTAGCTAGCGTCCGCTATGGGAATTCACTAGTACTTTGCTAGTACCTTCAGAAAGTATTCACACCCCTTGACCTTTTCTACATTTTGTTGTGTTCAGGTGAAAGTTCAAGAGTAAAAATGTGTTTAACAAGTCACATAATAAATTGCATTTACTCCCTCTTTGTGCAATAATAGTGTTTAACATGATTTTTGAATGACTACCTCATCTCTGTACCCCACACATACAATTATCTGTAAGGTACCTAAGTCGAGCAGTGAATTTCAAACACAGATTCAACCACAAAGACAAGGGAGGTTTTCCAATGCCTCGCAAAGAAGGGCACCTATTGGTAGATGGGTAAAAATAGAAAAGCAGACATTGAATATCCCTTTGCGCATGGTGAAGTTATTAATTGCACTTTGGATGGTGTATCAATGCACCCAGTCACTACAAAGACACAGACGTCCTTCCAAACCCGCTCAGGGATTTCACCAATGGTGACTTTAAAACAGTTACAAAGTTGAATGGCTGTGATAGGAGAAAACTGAGAATGGATCAACAACATTGTAGTTACTCCACAATAATAACCTAGTTGACAGAGTGAAAAGAAGGAAGCCTGTACAGAATACAACTATTCTAAAACATGCATCCTGTTTGCAACAAGGCACTAAAGTAATACTGCAGAAAATGTGGCAAAGACAATATACAAAGTGTTATGTTTTGGGCAAATCCTATACAACACATTACAGAGTACCTCTCCCCATATTTTCTCCATATTTTCAAGCATAGTGGTGGCTGCATCATGTTATGGTATGCTTGTAATCGTTAAAGACTGGGGAGTTTTTCAGGATAAAAAATTTACGGAATAGAGCTAAGCACAGGCAAAATCCTAGAGGAAAACCTGGTTCAGTCTGCTTTCCACCAGACACTGGGAGATGAATTCACCTTTCAGCAGGACAATAACCTAAAACACAATGCCAAATCTACACTGGAGTTGCTTACCAAGAAGACAGTTTATGTTCCTGAGTGGCCGAGTTACAGTTTTGACTTAAATCTACTTGGAAATCTATGGCAAGACCTGAAAATGGTTGTCTAGCAATGATCAATAACTAATTTGACAGAGCTTGAAGAATTTTGAAATGAATAATGGGCAAATGTTGCACAATCCAGGTGTGGAAAGCTCTTAGAGACTTACCCAGAAAGAATCACAGCTGTAATCACTGCCAAAGGTGATTCTAACATGTATTGACTCAGGGGGTTGAATACTTATGTAATCAAGATATGTTTTTCTTTTTCATATTTTTTTCCCAAAGTTTGCCTGTGCTTAACCCTATTCCGTTTATTTTTATCATATAAAACTCATGTTAGAATTAATGTTAGAAATGTTCTTCCACTTGTGACATTACAGAGTATTTTGTGTAGCTCGTTGACAAAAAATGACAATGAAATCCATTTTAATCCCACCTTTTAACACAACAAAATGTGGAAAAGTTGAGGGGTGTGAATACTTTCTGAAGGCACTGTATATGCTTCTACAAAGTATTAGATATTTCTGTATTTAGTTTTCAAAAAATTTGCTAAAATGTTGAAATATGTTTTCACTTTGTGATTATGGGGTATTGTGTGTAGATGGGTGAGAATTGTTCATTTGTAATCCATTTTGAATTCACGCTGTAACACAACAAAATGAGGAATAAGTCAAGGGGTATGAATACTTTCTGAAGGCACTGTATATATACACTGAGTGTACAAAAACATTAGGAACACCTGCTCTTTCCATGACAAATACTGACCAGGTGAATCCAGGTGAAAGCTATGATCCCTTTTGATGTCACCTGTTAAATCCACTTCAATCAGTGTAGATGAAGGGTAGGAGACAGGTTAAAGAATGATTTTTCTTAGCCTTGAGACATGGATTGTGTATGTGTGCCATTCAGAGGGTGAATGGGCAAGACAAAAAGTTTTAAGTGCCTTTGAACGGAGTATGGTAGTAGGTGCCAGGCACACCGGTTTGAGTGTGTCAAGAACTGCAACGCTGCTGGGTTTTTCACATTCAACAGTTTACCGGGTGTATCAAGAATGGTCCACCACCTAAAGGACATCCAGCCAACTTGACACAACTGTGGGACGCATTGGAGTCAACGTGGGCCAGCATCCCAGTGGAACGCTTTTGACACCTTATAATCCATGCCCCGATGATTTGAGGCTGTTCTGAGAGCAACGTCGCTGCACAACTATTTTCAGGTCTCTCCAGAGATGTTCGATCGTGTTCAAGTCCAGGCTCTGGCTGAGCCACTCAAGGACATTCAGAGACTTGTCCCAAAGCCACTCCTGAGTTGTCTTGGCTGTGTGCTTAGGGTCATTGTCCTGTTGGAAGGTGTCAATGGTGGGACCTTATATAGACAGGTGTGTGCCTTTCCAAATCATGTTCAATCAATTGAATTTACCACAGGTAGACTCCAATCAAGTTGTATAAATGGAAACAGGATGCACCTGAGCTCAATTTCGAGTCTCATAGCAAAGGGTCTGAATACTTATGTAAATAAGGTATTTCTGTTTTTTTATTTTTTAAATAAATTCCGCTTTGTCATTATGGGGTATTGTGTGTAGATTGTATTAATTTTTTAATCAATTTTAGAATAAGGCTGTAACGTAACAACATGTGGAAAAAGGGAAGGGGTCTGAATACTTTCCGAATGCACTGTATATATAATTTATTTATGTTTTCGTTTGGGGAAAAAATAACACCCCTTGTGTGCACTGCCGGTTATACCGCATACCCCGGTATGGTACAGGAACGGTATGGAAATCTGTATACCACCCAACCCTACCTTGGACCCTGTTTGAATATTTGGAAAAATCGCTTGGGTATAGGAGTTTTGTGGAGTGTAGGGTATTATTGAGTCCTAAGCCCTGATTGGTCCTCCAGAAGACTACAGCCGCATACCAGGCATGCCTTTCAAAGTTCACCCTGCTGCACAGTGGCAGTAGAAATACTTCACCACCTGACACTATATGCTTCTATAATTTATCCTCGTAATAATGATTTACTAGAGGTGGACAACCTCTGGGTTGTCAGGGCAAAAATAGACTCCTCACTCAGTAACTCAACAGTCTTAGTCTATGTTCTACTCCATACAATGAGATGTTGTGTGTCAGATGATGTCAGTCCCGAGCCTGTGTGCATGTCTGTGTCTATTAAACAGCTCGATCGTTGAGGTTTAGAATGCAGAAACAGACTGGCACTGGCAGAATAACCTATTCCAAACATCTTTAACAGATTAATTTTTCGGTAGAAGCAAAATGTTATTATGAATTAACATATTACCATTTAATTGAGAAGTACCTGGTAAGCCCCGCACTGTAAAATAATGAGTCACTTTTTTTGTCTTCCTACGTGTCTCCCTCTACAGTACCCTGACCAAGACTCTGAAGTATGTGTACAGTCAGTATGGGGTGAAGAAGGGTCTGTACAGAGGCCTGTCTCTCAACTACATCCGCTGTGTGCCCTCTCAGGCTGTGGCCTTCACCACCTATGAGTTCATGAAGCAAACCCTCCACCTCAACTAGCTGCTCCCTCCCCATCCACCTCCACCCTTCATCTCTGCATTGCTGGATTGGGGCACGTTCACTAGGGCTAGACGTTATGAAATGTTTAGAAAGATCCCTAGTAGCTGTCTATCTCAAAACAGACTGACCGAGAGCGTTCGCTGGGGCTATACATTCTGAAATGTTTAGGAACTTCCTTAAACTCCCTGCATCTCAACAAAACCTGACTGGGGAACTATTAATTGTAAATTTTTCAAAACGTCTCTCAGTCCCATGAATATTCCTTATTAGATGTGTTCATTTACCCTAGTAAACTTTTTTTCTGTTTTAAGGAGGTCGGCTTCCGCTCTGAGGTATTGATCCCTACTACCAGAGGAGGCCATTGTGGCTCAGCCACTGGAGCCATGCTGAGCCCAGTCGCTCTTTGCCCCAGTCGGAAAGCAAATGAAGGCACTGGGCCCCATGGCAATGCCTCAAAACAACTGCCAGTGCCAATCCACAGCCCCTGTCTGTCTCAGCTCCTGCTTTTGTGACTCTCTCCACCTCTTATAATGTTGTTCTAAAACCGCCCAACCTGTGGCTTTGGACAACACCCCGGCAACTATTGCCATGGATACCTATGGACAATGACTCACTCTGCTTCGATGGGTGGCTATGGGCAATGAACCCCTAACGACTGTCGTTGGTAATGCCATAGCAACCCAATTCTATACACTGCCTCCCACCCTACCTAAGAAGTCACCCAGCCAATAACAGAGGGGAAAGTCACACCGGACAATCTGCCTTGACAAAATCTGAGGTCTTATGTTGCTCATGTACCTACCTGACACTGTTGTGAGTACAAACCTAGACACATAAAACAATGAGACAAGGATTTAAATGTGTAATATGTCTGTTATAGGACAACTCTCCTACATTTTATGAGAATTAAGAACACTCTCCCCAAGCTTGTGTTGAACACATAACTGTGCTTTTTGAGCATCCTGAGTTTAGTAGAATCCCAATGATAAAATCCCAAAACATCACATCAGTTTGTTCAAAACTGAACATCAAATTGTATTATTTTGATGATCCCCAAAAAGTATTATTGTCAGACATCGAAACAGGTTTGCCCCATGCAGTTTAACAGATATAACAGGTGTGTATCTGTAGGAGTGTTGTCTTTGGTATTGATGTGCGTGTGTTTGTCTCCATTCAGGGTTTAGTGTATAGTACGTCTCTTCTATACTGTGCAGGTTTGGGGTCCAATGCCTTGTTGTATACAAGCTGCTGTTTGTGTGTTGTGTTCTTATCTACAATGTCTCTGTGCACTCTTTTACCCATATAACCAACAGACCAATATATCTATCATTGCAACAGACACATAGGACACATAGTGTCTAAAATGCCAACCTATTCCCTATATAGTGCACTAGTCAAACTCTGGCCAAAAGTAGTGCACTATATAGGGAAAAGGGTGTCATTTTGGACATAACCATGGCTGCTAGTCAGTTTTTACTTTAACCAGGCCAGCTTGTCATTGGCTACGACGTAACAATGTAGGCTAACGTTGGGTACAAGGCAGTGGTGTAGCATGCAGAAACAGTCATGTTCTCAGGCTAATGATGGTGTGTACCTACCTGAAGAGGATTTTGAAATTATAGAGATTTCTGTTGATGAGAGAGTCCAGCAGGGTTGCAAAATTCAACTTTCCAAAATGCCTTGCTTTTACAGAAATCCCGGTTGGAAGATTGGAATGGAAAACTTTGGAATTTTGGGAAAGTTACCTACCTGAATTTTGTATCCCTAAAGTCCAGTTTTGACATTGTTCCTGTGAGATGACAATGAACTGATGTAGGCTATGGACTGACAGTGGTGGTTTTAACATATGTTGTATTTTCTTTACCGCTTGCCTACATTTCCCTGTGTTCAGGTGTGTCGCAGGGTGTAGAAAGCCTTTTAGTCAGCTACTGATCAAGGTCTAGACATTAGTATTAAAATAGATGCTATATAATGTATCCTATGTAAGAGTTGCTATATAATTTAAGCACCCAAATGGAAACCTGAGTTAAGTACTTCAGAAGAAAAAATCTTGCACTTTGGAGGCTTTGGCTTTGTTGTGTTTATTTATGAATGTGTAGTGTGACTGTGTGGCCACAAGGTGTAAGCAATTAGTCCGTAAAAAGTTGACCTACAACAACCATATGTAGCCTGCCCTGCATGTAACTGGACATACATTACCATGCTGAGGCCTTCATACCCACTACTACAGAGATGTATGTAATCTGATCTGGCCATGTATCATCATGATGACTTTGGATATGTGATTTTCCTGTTGGTTTGAATGTACATTGTGCAGTATCTGTGTTCTGTACCCGTATTTATGAATAAGACGGGGACGTGATGCCATATCAGTACTAGTGCTTTATGACATGCCCTGTTCTTCTCTTGTTTTGCAAAATGATGTAAGGAAGTAGGAAGTCATAAGAATCATAATGCAAATCTCACTGGTCTCAAGTCACTTCCTTTCCCAATCTACATTCCGTCACCTGCACTGAACGAGCTGGATAGGTAAAAGTTACTTACTGGTAGGCACATTGTTTTCCCCATGCGTCGCCAAAGTAACAGATTTATTTTAAGCCGGCTACTTTTTCCACTTAAAACATGTATTGCTACTTTTCATTTATAAAAGTTTCAATTCGCTAGTCAGAAAAGTCTGTTGAGCCGTCTCCCGCCAGAATGAACGATATGCATCTTCTAGCGATCTATCGATAGGACAAGCGCCTGCCAGTCACAATGCGAGCGAATACGGAAACACTGCTGGTTAGACAGTCTGCTGTCTGTCTCACCTCCGGGTATCTGTGGGGATTTGTGTGCGCTGTGGTTGGTTGCAGTCAAATTTCTTTAGCGAGAGCATGATACGCTTTCATCGTCTCTGTGAGTGAATTTGCACATCCCAGTGGTAACGATGAGTCGAAATCCACTTAGCCTAATTATTGTTTTCTTGCATATACATTTATTTTCTTTCGTATGTTTCCTATAGCCAGCCACGGAGTCGTGGTGTATAGGCTATTTACTGTGATTTAATTGACGACCGAACAGCAAGTGTGACTAGTTTATAAAACGTATCGAACTGACTGAATAAAAGTGATCTCCTATATCCCTTTGCCATTCATAAATCATACATATGTTCATGGTATCGCCCCTGGACAAGTAAACCAAAGATCTCGTTTTGTATTTTCTTAGGATATGAAGTCCATGTCGGGACTTGCCAGACAGTGGCGGTAAAGTAAGTGACAAGTCAGTGTAGCCTACCGAATCGCATCCAGTGAGAGAACTGTTCATTTGGCTCCTTCATTTGAATAGTGGTAGGCTTTTTGGCGATTGATTATCTGCAGCTCAATTATTAACAATTCCATGAAGAAGATGAATCCTCACTGCAGGAACAATAGGTAGTGGAGCGAGAGACTAATTTTGTTCCAAATATGCTAATGATAATTTGAACAACAAACATCATTGTGGCAATTTATATATTGCAGTAAAACTGTAAATAAGACTTTAATCTTAAGGGAAGACAGGTTTAATGTTAAAAAAGGTTTCATGTTCGCCACTTGGAAAATAGTCCTGATCATATAGGCCTAGACGATTTCCAAAAAACTCGAGCAATACACTGAATTCAAAAAATTTCAGTAATTTAAATGGTAAAGTCATGTCTTTCTACACACTACCACAACTCATTTTACCAATCTGGGAGGTAAACTCGATAAAGTTTTCAATTATTTTGCTGTGTATTTAGGATGTAATCAAGGCATTAGAATGTACCAGAGGCCACCAAAATGGAGCTTGTTCAGCCAGGGATGGCTACTTTTTCTATTTGGCTGGCTAGTTTGTGTACTTAGGGAAAACACTGTAGGCAGCTTACATATTGCTTTCACCCGTCCTGTGTTTTCAGATCAGTGCAGATGAAGGCGAAGAGAGGAAGCCACTAGACTATTGAGATGTACCCTCAAACTTTCACAAGTAGTGGATACATGAATGCCAAGTGACAAAGGGGGAGGTAGTACTTACAGTACCAGTCAAAAGTTTGGACACACCTACTCATTCAAGGGTTTTTCTTTATTTTTTTTACTATTTTCTACATTGTAGAATAGTAGTGAAGACATCAAAACTATGAAATAACACATGGAATCATGTAGTAACCAAAAAAGTGTTAAACAAATCAAAATATATTTTATATTTGAGATTCTTCAAAGTAGCCACCCTTTGCCTTGATGACAGCTTTGCACACTCTTGGCATTCTCTCAACCAGCTTCATGAGGTAGTCACCTGGAATGCATTTCAATTAACAGGTGTGCCTTCTTAAAAGTTAATTTGTGGATTTCTTTCCTTCTTAATGCGTTTTGAACTAATCAGGTGTGTTGTGACAAGGTGGGGGGTATATAGAAGATGGCCCTATTTGGTAAAATATCAAGTCCATATTATGGCAAGAACAGCTCAAATAAGCAAAGAGAAACGACAGTCCATCATTACTTTAAGACATGAAGGTCAGTCAATACGGAACATTTCAAGAGCTTTGAAAGTTTCTTCAAGTGTAGTCGCAAAAACCATCAAGCGCAATGATGAAACTTGCTCTCATGAGAACATCAACTGTTCAGAGGAGACTGTGTGAATCAGGCCTTCATGGTCAAATTGCTGCAAAGAAACCACTACTAAAGGACACCAATAATATGAAGAGACCTACTTGGGCCAAGAAACATGAGCAATGAACATTAGACCTGTGGAAGTCCAAATTTGAGATTTTTGGTTTTTAGTTCCAACCGCCGTGTCTTTGTGAGACGTGGTGTGGGTGAACGGATGATCGCCGCATGTGTATTTCCCACCGTGAAGCATGGAGGAGAAGGTGTTATGGTGTGGGGGTGCTTTGCTGGTGACATTGTCTGTGATTTATTTAGAATTCAAGGCACACTTAACCAGCATGGCTACCACAGCATTCTACAGCGATACACCATCCCATCTGGTTTGGGCTTAGTGGGACTATAATTTGTTTTTCAACAGGACAATGACCCAACACACCTCCAGGCTGTGTAAGGGCTATTTTACCAAGAAGGAGAGTGATGAAGTGCTGCATCAGATGACCTGGCCTCCACAATCCCCCGACCTCAACCCAATTGAGATGGTTTGGGATGAGTCGGACCGCAGAGTGAAGGAAAAGCATTGCTCAGCATATGTGGGAACTCCTTCAAGACTGTTGGAAAAGCATTCCATGTGAAGCTGGTTGAGAGAATGCCAAGAGTGTGCAAAGTTGTCATCAAGGCAAAGGGTGGTGTCACGCCCTGGCTCTGGGGACTCTTTAATGTTGAGCCAGGGTGTTAGTTCCTATGTTTAGTTGTTCCTTGTTTTCTGTCTAGATCGTTTAGATCTATGTTGGCCAGGGTGGTTCCCGATCAGAGGCAGCTGTTGCTCGTTATCTCTGATTGGGAACCATACTTAGGCAGCCTGTTTTGCACAGTTGATTGTGGGATCTTGTTCTGTATAGGTTTGTGTTGGTGAACCTTTAGACTTCACGTATCGTTTTGTTGTTTTGTTGTTGGTGTAAAGTACTCATTAAAAGATGTACGCCTATCACGCTGCGCCTTGGTCTGCCTCTAATAACGATCGTGATAGAAGAGCCCACCAAAATAGGACCAAGCAGCGTGTGCAGGAGCAGACGCCGGGTATGGAACAGGAGGTTACTCTGGTAGATGTCCTCCTCGGTTGGGGGAAGATCACGGAGGAGGAGGCCGTCCGTTACCGGAGGGCGATGAGGGAGGATGCCCAGGCAGGAGAGGAGAAGCGGCGCCAACCGGGTCGTCGTCGGACAGGCGAGAGGCAACCCCAATAATTTTTTTGGGGGGGGCACACGGCATGGACGACGGGGATGCTGGAGGCAGCTACAGGACGTATCGGCGGATTAGGAGAGGAGGCCACCAGGTTTGGGGGGCTGGAAGGGAGGTTGGCGGAGCCTAGAGGTAGAGCAGAGCCAACTCCCCGTACTCAGGCTAGGCAGCGTGAGACTGGGCAGGTTCCGAGTTATGCAGAGCTGCGTACTGTACCGCAAGTGGTCCGGCACAGTCCTGTACGTCCTGTGCTAGCACCACGCATGTGTCGTGCTAAGGTGGGCATGCAGCCAGGACGGAGTGTGCCGGCTCAATGCTCGTGGCCTCCAGTACCTCTCCTCGGTCCCGGATATCCTGTGCCAGTGCCACGTGCTGTAGTGCCAGTACGAGTGCACAGCCCTGTACGTCCTGTGCTGATGCCTCACACAGAGTGTGTAGAAATAGGCATTCAGCCAGGACGGGTTGTGTCAGCTCTTCTCTCCAGACCTCCAGTCCGTCTCCACAGCCCGATTCGGCCTGTCCCTGCTTCCCGCACCAAGCCAGTGGTGTGCGTCGTC